CAAACTTCTTCCCAGGGATACAACGCAAACGCTCAAGCTTCTTACTACAATGGTCCATCTTCTCAGCAATTCCAATCTGGTCCAGCCAAACCCAGCTTCAACCAACAATCCGGATATCAATATTAAACTAATATAATCTGTAAAAGAAACATATTTATTATGAAATAAACGAAACATTTTTAAATTATAAACATAATTATTTTAAATCAATAATTCAAACCTTCTAATTATACTCAGCTTGTATATTCAGTAAGCTTGGTTATCGAGTAATATTACAAAACTTAAAGACATTGCATATTTGAAGTAATTGTAAATTTTGATAGTTAATTGGAACTGAACAGTAATAGTTATGAATCTGCAAGTACACTCAAATTAAAGCCTATATATTTAGCTTCACTTATACTTAATAATAATAATCAAGTTTATTGACCAAAAGAACGGATACAAAGAAAATAAAATAAAACAAATTTACAATGAGTACATTTGGCCAAAGGGAACCGAATCAGTTTTTCCAAATAAAAAATTAAAGATTAACTGTTCTTCCTTCGGTCCCTTAGTATATATATTTATTAAGTTATATAACATGACGTGAATTCACGTGAATTTATCAGCTTATTACATGCAAACGGTAACAGCAACAAATCTAGCTTTATGTGTAGTGTTCATACTTAAAATTACCATTCGTTGTTGTTAAATAATTCGCTAAAACATATTTTGTTTTCAAAGCGTTAAATGATTGATTGTGTATTTATTTCGCAGACAAAAACTTTAATTATGTCTTCTGTTGTTCAAACGTTATTGAACGAGTCAACAAATTAAACACAGCTGCCCATGGTAATTGCTCAAATTACATCCTCAAAACAGTCAATTAATCAACAATAATAATTACATAAAAAAACAGTTGTGTTTTTTTCATATAAAACATTTATAGCTCATTAGTCAGTGAAGAATCTCCGGTATAATGACTTCATGTGTATTATATAAAAAAAATATGTAAGTAAACACGTAAAACTAGAGATATAAAAAAGAGAAATGCGCACATCCTGTTCTCGCGTTTATTTTAAAAAGAAGTAATTAATATCATTAGAGATGCGAATCAATTAATTCGTCTGCAAAAAAATTGAAGAAAAAAACTCCGAATTGTATAATGAGTACGTTACATATAACCGTTACAAATCATCCTTGATGAAAGTATAAATAAAGTTAGTATATATAAAAAAAAATAAATAAATATATACGTCTAGATACATAATTCATAACGTGCATGCAGGAGGCGCCGATCTTAATTGAAAGTGAAATACTTACAAGCAATTGCACTCAAGAATATGATTACCTCAGAAGATAAAGAAGGAGAATATTGTTGAGGCTGATCATCATACTTTTACCGGTGCGACCTTGCTGCAGCTTTCGGCTTCCGAAAAAATGCGTGCGTGTTTATTTTGAAGTCCATTTGGTTGGTGTATAAAAGATGCGGAGGATCTTCTCCGTGTCATCATTCAATTGCGAGTTGTTGCAGCAAAAGCATCTGAAACAATGAAATCGGTGAGGTTCAAAGATTTTGATTAATTTTTCATTGTTTACTTTTACTATTTCGTTTTTTTTTATAGTTTATAGTTTGTGTTTTGTTCGTGGCTGCTTCGGCCGATCGTCTGGATAACACTTATTTACCACCTGGTAATGCTAAAACGGCTGGAGGAAATGGAAACTTCTTGAACGCACCTTCTGCGGCTGGTTCCGGTCATCAAGTTCCATCCGGATTTGGTCAAGTGAAATCGACAGGTTTTGGTGCTCCTTCTTCTCAATACGGTGCTCCGAGCAACAACTTTGGTCATGCCGAGACCAACGCTTTTGGAGCTCCTTCCAATGGTTTTGTTAAAGCTCCGTCCAATCAGTATCTTCCCAGCAACGGTTTCGGTGCTGCATCCACATCTTCCAACAAATTTGGTGCTTCCAAATACTCTGCTCCGTCCAGCAATTTCGGTTCGCCATCCAACGTAGCTCATGGTAACAGCTTCGAATCTTCCTCCCAATTCTCTACTCCATCAGCTAACTTTGCTCCTTCCAAATACTCTGCTCCATCCGGAAACTTCGCTTCTCAAAACCCATCCACTCAATACGGAGCACCATCCACTGGAGCTCATGGTAACAGTTTCGAAACTACCTCCAAATTCTCTACCCCTTCAACAAACTTTGGTTCCCAAAACCCAGCTACGCAACACGGAGTCCCATCCAACGTAGCTCATGGTAACACCTTTGAATCATCTCCAAAATTCTCTACTCCATCTAAAAACTTTGGTTCTCAAAGTCCGTCCACCCAATACGGCGCTCCTTCCACTGAAGCTCATGGCAACAACTTCGAATCCACCTCCAAATACTCTGCTCCATCCAGTAACTATGCTTCTCAAAGTCCATCCACTCAATACGGAGCTCCATCGACCGTAGCTCATGGTAACACCAAGTCCTTTGGAGCTGCTCCATCCGGACAATATGGATCTCCCAGCAGACACCAATCCGTTGACGGAAGCGCAGCTATTCATCGTTTCAACAACGAAAACACCGGAGATGGCACCTACAAATTCGAGTACTAATAACAGCATTTTCCAACAGAACTTCTTGTTTAATTTACAATTATTTTCTTTTAGTTACGAAACCGAAAACAAGATTTCCCAACAGGAATCCAGCGAACTGAAGCACGGCGAAGGAAGTCAATCCGTCGAAGGATCTTACTCCTACGTAGGCGATGATGGTAAAACCTACACTGTAAACTATGTAGCCGATGAGAACGGATTCCGTCCGGTCGGTGAACACATCCCAGAAGCCATCCAGATTTTGGCCAAGAAAGCCGGTGAAGCTGGTTCCCAAGAAAATGTTCAGGGATATAATGGAAATGCTCAAGAATATAATGGAAACGCTGAAGGATTCAATGGGAATGCTAAAGGATTCGTTCAAAACACTCAAGAATTCAGTGGAAAAATTCATGGATTAAGTGGAAATGCTCCTGGATCCAATGGACATACTCATGGGTTCAATGGAAATCCTCAAGGATTCGCTCAAAATACTCAAGAATTCAGCGGAAAAATTCATGGATTAAGTGGAAATGCTCCTGGATCCAATGGACATACTCATGGGTTTAATGGAAAAATTAAAGAACTCAATGGAAATACTCATGGATTCTCTGGAAAAACTCAAGGTTTCAGTGGAAACATTCATGGAAACGAACAAACTTTCAGCAGTGGATTTTCTTCCTCTCAAGGAAACAAATACCATTCTGCTCCGAACAAGCAGAGCTTCGATGAACAAACTGGATATAAATATTAATGCTATTTTAGATAACAAATTTTAATTTAAAAAAAAAATATAATTAAGTATATTAAAAGGATTCTGCAGCTTTACATGTAACAATTTTATATTTTTGAATTAATAAACGAATTGAATAAATTAAAACATGTCTTCTTATTTAAAAGCATAAGATTTTGTACACATTTCTAATTAAAATATTTTTGTGAGTCCTGGGTGGTCATGGGCACTAGTCAAAATTAAATGATGACAGTTGATTGTTGATAGACTAAACATGTATTTTTCATATGCGACTTTTGGATCTATTCTATGTATTACATAGAAATTCAGGAATTGTCCATAGCTCTGATCAATGGTTGTTAACATGTTGCATTGGTACTTACCCGAAGTGAAATGTTTGTTATACAAGGAAATAGTAGAGTGGAGCAATGAAGAACGTTCTTCATTAAGTTTGCATTCAGAACATTGCAGAATAAACAGGAAATCCAATAAAGTCCTTTGAATGTACTTAGTAACAGTAGATGTCAAACTGACAGCTGTCACAATGACAGTTCGCTCACTCACACAAACGTAAGTGGCTGTAGCATTAGAACTA